ATAATATACACATACGGATAATTTATTATTCTTTTTTTCGAACTACTACTATGTTAGCTAGCTAGTCGGGATACTTTACCTCCCGGATTGAACCGATATCGAGCAATCGAGTTACCTTTTCTTTAACAAAACTGTTTCTGACCTCGGCAATTGGGCGCTTCTTTTGCTTTACTGGCAAGATGCTTGGGTCCAGGCTTAGCTTGTGCACGACCACCTCTAGCAGGATACCTATCATATCCACGTGCGACCATGCAAAACAATTGGTGTTAGTTTTAAAGAATTCAATAAATCCTGTCCTGAGCTTGGGGTTTAGTCCTGTCCCCAAGTGGAACTTCCTATTTAGAAACTTTTTGAACAATGCTACTTTTTCAAGTTCCTCCGCCATGGACTTGGTCGCGTCTGTTTCTTTCGGTACATGGAAATACCTTGGCACCTGGTGGGATTCCAACGACTCTTCCCCTTTGTCATTCTCATTTGGTTCGGGCGTCGGTTCTTGTAATTTCTATGCTGCATGTTCCTTCCCTTTACTGCTGGAGATTGAGATTGCGTTCATCTTTCTTGTCGCCGGCTGATCTTCTCTTATTTGTTTAATTCCCTCTAGAGTTGGGAATTTTAGAAGCTAATGATATGTTGATTGTACGACCTTCATCTCGTGTAGCCATGGTCTGCCAAGAATTATGTTGTAGCCCATGTCGCCGTCTACTACTTCAAACAAGGTAGTCTTTATAACCCCTTCAGCGTTTGTGGGTAGCAAGATCTCCCCTCGGGTTTTCACACTTGCTAAGTTGAACCCAGCAAGGAGTTTTGTTGCCGGAATGATGCTTCTGGTTAACTTGCCTTGTTTAAGCAATCTCCATTGAATGATGTAGGCCGAACTTCCTGGGTCCATCAAAACACGTTTGATTTAAAAATCTAGAATGTTAAGAGAAATTACCAGGTCATCGTTGTGCGATAGTAAAAGCCCATCAACATCCTCTTCTGTGAAGGTGATGTCGTCCTCGATGACTTCCCGAAGCCTCTTGCTATGAGTCACTGATACCTTTTTCTTTTCCACTGCCGAAAAGGTTACACCGGTAATCTCGTTCCCCCTGAAAAATCATGTTGATAGTTTGTCGAGGAGGGTCTTCTCCTATCTTCGTGGGCTCTGCGTTGTCTCGGCCGAGGACCGAGGACAACAACTTCGGTTGGCATCGAGTAGATCCCGAAGGGAATATTATCAACGAGGGCAAACAAATATTTGCCACCAGATGACATTCAATGAAGAATATTTCTCAGTATTAAATATACATCCGTTACAGAAAATTTTGGCATTCATAGCCTGCCGTTACATATTCATCAATGGACCCCGTTATTATCATTTAAGAGGGGATTGATCCAAGGAATTTGTTCCCTAGGTATAGCTATAAATAGTGACTTCAACAGCCCATTGTGGCACACAAAAATTATGACAAACTTATGCTACACATTGTTCCAAGTTAAATACTACTTTATTTTCTATCTAACATTATTCTTATTGCTGCCTTCAGAAGCCTTGCTCCCGCAATCAAGTTGTCTACTATTGTATCTCAATTTCAATGCTAGGTCTTGCATTTTATTCAATTTATTTAACATTTTAGGATCAAATCGATTCTTTTGTCTATAAACCACACTATAAATTCAACCTTACCATTTTACGGGTAAATAGTTTGGCGCCCATCATGGGGCTTAGACAGTTACGTAATTAAGTTGATCCTTGCATCTGTTACTAATTTGTTTGATTTTCTAGTTCTTAAAAAAATGGCAGCTAACGATGTCAACATTGCACACAACGTTGAGGCACAAGAGAACCTGCCTCCACACAAGGATTTGATTAGTGACACTCGGAACGAGGAGGACATAGCAACGCCGGTTCATCGGGTGATATCCCTGACATGTACGGGAGCAGACTCCTGATGATGCTGAGAACGAGCACATTGCGAAAACGGTGAGGATCTTGAGAGAATAACAAAAATCCATCATGGGCCATCTCTCACGGCAAGTCCAAGCCATGATGGAACTGAGGCAAGCGTTGTTGGATGCTTCCAGCAATGCGAATGGAAAAGGACCAGTTACGCTCGGTGCTCCCGCAAATCAGACAGCGTAAAGGGTTGATAAAAAAAACCCGAGGGGTGAGGTCGCCTTTGATGGGGCCGGGGGGATCGACAGCGGATCTAGAACAACAATAATAATGATCCCTTCAAAACCTAGCTCATGCAATTTGTGAGAGAAATAAATGCTCGAATGGACCAAATTCCGAGCGCACCACCAGTGCTGAAGGGCTCAGACTCGAAGAAATACACCAATTGTCGTTCAAACCGAGCGTAGCACTAGAGTTAATTCTGAAGCGGTTCAAAATTCCAGATGTACCAAAATATGATGGGACTTGGACCCTCAAGAACACATCACCACCTATAAAAAGGCAGTGAAAGAAAATGACTTGGCTCCATACGAGATTGAGTCGGTCCTGCTGAAGAAGTTCGGAGAAACCCTCACGAAAGGGGCCCTGACATGGTACTCACTCTTACCCGAACACTCAATAGATTCCTTTGAGATGCTTGTGGATTCTTTCATCAAGGACCATGTCGGGGCCAGGAAGGTTCTGGCCCGAGAGGCGGACATATTTAGGATTTTGCAAGGAGAATCCGAGTTGCTGCGTAAGTTCGTGACAAGGTTTTGGAAAAAAAGGATGTTGCTACCAGTCGTGCGAGATGAATGGGAAGTTAAGGCGTTTACTAAAGGGTTGAACCCGAGGAACTCTGACGCCTCCCGAAAATTGAAAGAAAACCTGCTCTAGTTCTAGGAGACTACATGGACAGATGTCCATAACCGTTACTAATCAAAGATAAGAATAGAAGATGATCAGCTCAGTTTCCCGGCAACAACCAAGGGTCAGGATCGAGATAAGAACAAGGATAAGTCGAAGGATGATTTTGATGCAGATCGGCGATCTTTTAAGGGCCGAGTTTTGCCCTACGAAAGGCCCGAAGGACGCGGCAGAGGGTTCCGATCGGCGGATAGGTTCGCGCCCGATAAAATAACTGACCGCGGCTGGAATAATAGGTCATTCCAAGATAAAGAGGTATCGGGATCCCGGGATTCCACCTATCCTAGGATGTCCGAGTACAATTTCAATATCGGCGTAGTGGAGTTGCGATGAGGAACATCAAGGAAGCACGGTTCCTGAGGCCAATGAGATCTGATCCCAGTTAGAGGGATCCTAATCTATGGTGCGAGTATCATGGGACTAACGGACACCGGGGAAAGACGGAAGACGAAGCGAGTGAAAACCAAGACCGAGGACAACAACTTCGGTTGGCGTCGAGTAGACCCTGAAGAGAACATTATCAATGAGGGCAAATAAATATTTGACGCAAGATGACATTCAGTGAAGAATATTCCTCAGTATTAAATACACATCTCTTACATAGAATTTTAGCATTCATAGCCTGCCGTTACATATTCATCAATGACCCACATTATTGTCATATAATATGGGCTTGATCCTAGGTCCTTGTTCCCTAGGTATAACTATAAATAGTGACTTCAACAGCCATTGTGACACACGAAAATTCTAACAAACTTATGATTGTTCCAAGCTAAATACTACTTTATTTTCTATCTAACATTATTCTTTTTGCTACCTTCGGAAGTCTTGCTCCCGGAACCAAGCTGTCTGCTATTTTATCTCAATCTCATCGCTAAGTCTTGCATTTCATTCAATTTATTTACCATTTTGGGATCAAATTAATTTGCTTGTCTATAAACCACGCTATAAATTAAATTGTGCCATTTCATGGGTAAACACTAGTGTCCTCGAACTTGGGCTTGCACAAATTCAGTATGATACAAAGTGGTAAATTCTTCAAGAAAAAAAAAAAAAGAAAATGTACGACGTTATCGAAAATGTAAGAAAGATGTGTTGCAAAAATGTGTGTACAAATGCGAAACTAAATACATTTTTTGCTTTATAATAAGTGGAGCCGTCAAATAGGCTATTTGGTTAAACTTTGAGCAGTTAAAAGTAGGTTAAGACGATCAATTGGTCATGACCAAATTAATCCAAAATTTAGTAGGGTCAAGAATCGTTAGGTCAAGTTGAAAATAGTAAAATCGCTAGGTCAAAAATTGGTTAAGAAATGTAACATAACACTAGTTGTCAAATTCAAAACTAACCCGTATGTATCGCTTTTTTGTTTGTGAATCTTTAGGCGTACAATTAAGTTAACAAAAGGGGAAGACTTAACCAAAATAGTTGTTCACTTAAGTTCTTAAACTAAAAAAAGCTAATGAATCTATATATATAAAATTATGTATAATCAATATATAATATATGTATACCGGCTAGAAAAAGTAAACATTGAATCGAACCGGCTATTACCCTACCACTTAAACTAAAAATAACCGATAAATCTATAATACATGCATAATTTATATATTACATATGTATAATCAATATATGATCTATGTATATGACTAGAAATAACACATACTAATATGGACTGATTTATAATTGTATCTACATTTAAAATCGTTTCTGTGTTTTCGGCTTTAGTTTCGATAAAGAGGCTCATCTGTATTGATTTGAGTTAGTACGATAGTCCAAGTTGATCTTGATAGATTGGTTTGAGATGCATCAACTGGTTCAATTCAATATTTTGACAAAATACATCTCCAACTGAATTGGGCAGCTATGGGTAGAAGTGTTCATGGTTCGGGTCGATTTTTTCCCAAAAAGAAATCAAACCAAGCAAGTCGGTTTTTCAAATATTGGAACCAAACCAATTAAGTTGGTTTTTTATCGATTCGATTTTTATCGATTTTTCGATTATTTATCGATTTTTTTCCTTAAATATGAGACATACACTACCAAACGCATATTCGGACGACTACATTTTCAACGTAACCAATTTGTAAACCACACATGAATTTTATGGGACAAAGCCCCCGTTCAAATATTTGGCGGCGACGACGTCGTTCATTTGTCGTCAACCGTCGTATCCAGCTCAAAAAATCTTCCTTTCTTCCTCCCTCCTATGTTATCTGTTAAGAGATAACGTTAACACTGCTCAAAGAATGGGAACTACCATTCTCAATACATCGTTGTTCCTTGTGCATTTTAACAGTTGGAGAAAATTAAGTTCAAGAATGATGGAGTCTGACGTTTTTCGCAAACGAAGAAGGTTCATTTCTGCAAAATATAAAGGTGATGATTTTGAAAGTGGAAAGAAGCTTTATCTTGGTATGGATTTTGGAACATCTGGAGCTCGGTATGCTCTTATTGACAATGAAGGGAGCATTCACGCTGAAGGGAAGAGAGAGTACCCCCTCTATATGGTAAGCTTAATTATTCACAAGAATTGAGAGGATCTAGGATTTTCACAATACACGGTAGTCAGTTTATGGAGATGTGTAGCGTAAAACAGTAGTAGTAAATTTCTTAGAATGTTCATTCATTTACTTTAATCTGCAGGCAAGTTATAGAGAGAAAATTCCAATTAAATTAGGAAATGATTGTAATTTGGTCCTCGTCTCATACCATAAATGCTGGACATATAACTTATAATGAGCTGAAACATGCCTTCACAAGAAATGATGTTCCAAATTAAAACTTGTTTTATTTACTAGAAAGAAGGAGGAAAAAATGGATTGGATACAATCATGGAAAGACACACTCTTTTTACTCCTTGATGATGTTCCAGCCAGTCTTCGCCCAGCTGTTGCGTCCATTGCAATTGACGGGACCTCTGCAACAACTATCATCATGGACAGGTCGGTACTAGGCAGTTTTTCTACTTTCCTTAATTGTCTTCTTCTAATAGTATATGATTTTCCTACAGCACGAGCGGAAGGCCATTGTGTAGACCGTTCCTGTACAATGAGAGCTGTCCTGATGCTTTGCCCTTGGTGAAGTCTATTGCTCCTGCAAAACATACGGTCTGCTCTGGATCTTCTACCCTTTGCAAGCTTGTCTCGTGGTGGAACTCTTATGATTCGAGCAAGGAATCTGCGGTATTATTACATCAAGCAGATTGGTTACTCTGGCTACTTCATGGCAAGCTGGGGGTGTCCGACTATAATAATGCTTTGAAGGTAACTGTTATAAACACGAAAAGACACCTGTTTTCGTTCTCTCTTATATATGATGCCTTTTTAATTTCCATGTGTTTACCAACGTGCCTGACTTCCACTTGTATATTACAGGTTGGGTATGATCCTGAAATGGATTCCTATCCATCTTGGCTTCTATCTCAGCCATATTCTCATCTTTTACCTTCTGTTCAAGCTCCTGGTACTAAAATTGGTTGTATAAAGGAGGACATAAGAACTAATTTTGGTATGTTCTAATTTTCTTCAGCTTCCTGTTCAGCGGTAGATTAAATCTGGTTACACTATCATTGATTGAAAATGCTTCTTGTTTACGATTTGAGGTTTTGGATTGTGATATCATTCTGAGTAAACTACTATAAAGTGTGGGATGGACGAGATAATGTTTGCATTGAAAGATAATAATGTTCTCATACAAGGTTTTATGGGGCCAGTATTTACTCCATTACTTTTTTTTACTTGGGTTGCAAGACATAAACATAGGCAAGTGAGAGTGGAGAAAATGTGAAGCCGCACATCTTGTGAACTCGAGTTATTATTGATTTATAGTGCCTTTTGTTTTGTTTCTGAACTTGTATCACATCTTTGCTAATTCACATTATGGAGTTTCTTTATTAATTTCGGAAATTTTTCTTTCTTTGTCCTTTGTTATTGAGTTCTTTGCAGTAGTTACTGCGATTCAGGATCACCTTTCTAGCTTTAAAAACAAGAAAGAGAGAAAAACTTCGCCAATACTGTCGGCCCTTTTTTCTTTTTGAATTGGATAACTTACATTTTGAAGCTCCACAAACATGGAGGTTTTGGAGATGAGAGGCTAATAGTGATGTAATCCTTCATTTTATCAGGTTATCCAAAGGATTGTGTTATCTGTACCGGAACCACAGACAGTATAGCAGCATTTCTAGCAGCACGTGCTACTCAACCCGGGAAAGCTGTATGTTTTGCCTGCCTATTTGTTTTCGTTTAGTATATATAATGAGAGAGGTGCTGCTGCTAATTGTGTGAGATAGATAGTGCATTTCAGATATAGTCAGATTTAATTTGCATAGTTGGTATTTGTAATGGTCCAGTCGACCAAGTACTCTTTTGGTGTGGGTTACTCGTCTGAGCATATATATGTATAGGGAATATCTATCACTTCACATACTTGTGCTTGTACCCAGGTAACATCTTTGGGTTCAACACTTGCAATAAAACTACTTAGCACTAGAAGGGTAGAAGATGCTCGATTTGGAGTATATAGCCACCGTCTTGATGATAAATGGCTGGTTGGAGGTGCTTCTAATACGGGGGGAGCAGTTCTTAGGCAACTGTTCACAGATGAGCAGTTGGCGAAACTAAGCGAGCAGATAAATCCCCTTGAAGCTTCTCCTCTTGATTACTACCCCCTTCAAGCAGTTGGTGAAAGATTCCCTGTGTCAGATCCAAATATGGAGCCAAGGTAGTTAACTATGTTTATTCTTCTAGCTAAAAAGTGATAATGCCATTGTTGAAACTGAATTAAAATCCGACTTGGTAAGTTGGTGGTAATTATGAAGTGACTGCCTTAAATTTCGTGTCATATTTAGACTACTTGAGATTTAATAAACTTGCAAGTCTTGAAATAGAATCCTGATTTTCCACAACCCCATAGCATCCAAGCTATAGATGAAGCCGAGCTAAGATCAAATGTGGCAATTCTTCACCTGATACTGGATCCACATCCGGATAAGGTTGTGCAATAATCAGTATAAACTTCAAACTCTTAGTTGAGTTTAGAGATGGAAATAAGTTGCTAATAGGTTTTGAACTTCACATTAGCTTTTAAAGAATGGTACTCAATATAACTGGAATTGGATGGTTCGATGGTATCATGGCTGTTCTGTTATCTACGCAGAAAAGTAAATCTGAACCATTTGATGGAAGGTCCTGTTGCTAGCCGTTGTTAGAAAGCAATTATTTGCCATAATTACCAAATGTATGTGCCTTCAAGTTAATGCTCGTCTACACACAACCGGATCCGTTGCTCACACTTAGCATTTTACCTGCAGGCTACATCCACGTCCAGAAAATGATGTTGAATATTTACATGGTATTCTTGAATCAATTGCTCGCATTGAGGTAAGTTTGGTGGCCTGTCCTGTTCTAACATCCTGTTTCGCTTCCTCTCTATTTCACACTATGAAATAGAAATAGGACTATTATTACTGATGTTTTGACATTTAGGCAAAGGGGTATAAGTTGCTGAAAGATCTAGGGGCCACTCCCGTCGAAGAAGTGATCACTTCTGGAGGAGGCTCAAAGAATGAAAAATGGATAAAGATACGAGAGAGAGTACTCGGTTTGCCTGTGTGCAGAGCAGATCAGACTGAAGCTGCCTATGGAGCTGCATTGTTGGCTATCAAAGGCTCTTCTTAAAATATAATATAGCATCTCACTGGAAAATGTAACATTTTTATTCCCTTTTTAAGACATAGTATGACAATAAACTGGAATGCCTGTTCCCAATTCATCTCTATCATGTATTAGATTTTGGACAATGAACCATAATAATTATAGGCAGAAAACATATATTAATTATACACAATTTTATATATATATATATATATATATATCAAAGTGCAATACTATTTAATTTTCTAAATATGTAGGGAAACACTCAAATGGAATAGAAGAAAATACAAGGTGGCGGCAGCTTATTTCCAAGATCTCAAGTAAGTGCCCGTTTGGACATAAAGTAGGCGTTTGGACATAAGAATCGTAAAATTCGAAAAAATGGTGAATTTTTTTTTCAAGTGTAATGACTCGGTCGGTCGTTTTGAGAGTTAGAGCCTCGATCCCCTATTAACTGCTTCCCCTGTATCTAATTTTGCTATTTTGTGTTGCCGAGAGGGTTCGTTTTGGTTTTTGAAGTGAATTGAAACACTTATTCTCTTAATTGGGAGCTTAAGTTGGAAAAGTCGACCAAATGTCTACTTGTGTGTAAACGACCGCGGATTTGAATTTTGATGGTTCCGTTAGCTCCATTAGGTGATTTTGGACGTAGGAGCGCGTCCGGAATGTGATTTGGAGGTCCGTAGTAGATTTAGGCTTGAATTGGCGAAAGTTGGAATTTTGGTGATTTTGTCGGCAGTGGAAATCTTGATATCGGGCTCAGAATTTCGAAAGTTGGAGTAGGTTCGTAGTGTAATTGGTGACTTGTGTGTAAAATTTGAGGTCATTCGGACGAGATTTGATATGTTTCGACGTCGTTGGTAGAATTTGGAAATTTGAAAGGTCGTTAGGCTTGAATCCGTGTATAATTCGTGTTTTTGATGTTGTTCGATGTGGTTTGAAGGCTCGACAAAGTTCGTATGGTGTTTTAAGATTGGTTGGTATGTTTGGTTGAGGTCCCCGGGGCCTCGGGTGAGTTTCGGGTGCTTAACGGATGAATAATGGACTTAGGAGAATTGCTGAGTTGTTGGTTCTGGTATTTTTCGCACCTGCGGTGGGAGGTCCGCAGGTGCGGCCCCACAGAAGCGAGGCTGAGGCCGCAGGTGCTGTTTTGGGTATAAAAGCCAGGGGTTGCAGAGCAGGAGCGGAGCCGCATCTGCGGAAAGGTAGTCGCAGATGCGGATGTGAGAGGGACCCGAGGCTCCGCAGAAGCGGACGATTAGCCGCAGATGCGACGAAGACGCGCAGGTGCGGACTCTGGAGTTTAATGAAAACTCGCAAGTGCGGAGTCCCTGTCGCAGAAGCGGGACCGCAGATGCGATCCTGGGATCGCAGAAGCGAGAATCGCTGGGCAGAAAAGGGGATTTTTCGAGGGTTTGAAGTTCATATCACAAAATTCAATTTGGATCTTGGTGGAAGGCGGAATTTAGAGGGATTTTCAGAGGAAGTCATTGGGTAATGAATCCTAACTCCTTTGTGATTATATTCCACTAATTTATGCTTGAATTCATCATTTAATTTCGGAATTAGGGTGAAAATTTGAGAAAAGTTCTTAGGCCAAATTTTGGGGTTTTGATCAAGATTTCTGTATCGGATTTGAGTAATTTTGGTATGAGTGAATTTGTGAGTGAATGGGTGTTCGTATAATTTGTGACTTTTACCCGATTCCGAGACGTGGGCCCAGGGAGATATTTTGAGCGATTTCGTTAGATTAGTTTCTTGTAGTTATATTTATGTTATGTAATTGGTTTTGGCTAGATTTGGACCATTCAGAGTCGGATATTCGCGGAAAGAGCATAATTTCGGATTAATTTGAGCTTGGTTCGAGGTAAGTGGCTTGCCTAACCTTGTGTGGGGGAACTTCCGTTAGGATTGGTACAATTGTTATTATATGAGCGCTGTGTATGTGAGGTGACGAGTACGTACATGGGCTATTTAAAAAACCCGACTTTCATTAAATTCTCATACTTTGATACCATGTTGTCACGACCCAAATTTCATATTAGGCCGTAATGGCGCCCAACGCCATTGTTAGGCAAGCCAACACTGATCATATAGTAAATCCTCATTTATGTAGTTAGTACGTAATAACTCCCATTATAGATTTAAGAAATTTATGGTTTTAAAAGCTTAAGCATATTTAAGTGAAAGAAATTAATGTGAATCCCAATCACGAAGACAAGCCAAAACATCAAGTTCTACTAATGTGTGTGCCAAGACCTGGTGTCACAAGTGTGTGGGCAATCTAGTAGAATATACAAAATCATACAATCCTACTATCTGGAAAAGAAATAGACAGAAACATAAAGACAAAAGAGAGACTCAAGCTGCTGCAGATCGGCTGGGAAGGGCAGCTCACCGGAAAGTCTCGAGCTGAGATGACTATCCTATGCGCTGGACTGATGGCCAGATGAACCTACCTCAAAGCCTGTACAATCAAGTACAGAAGCGTAGCATGAGTACATACAAAAATGTACCCAGTAAGTATCTCGCCTAACCTCGCAGAAGTAGTGACGAGGGGTCGACTTCGACACTTACTAGGCCAGCAAATATAATAATATGAAGTTCAGCATTTTTAATTCACAGTGTATATAGATAACAACAAGCTCAAACAAGAATAATTATTTGAAAATCCTTTCAATCCAATTAATAAAACTAACCACTTTCCTCATTTAAATTAGTGACCTTTCCAGCAATAAGCCATACAATTTATAAGGGTTACGGTTCTATTATCACACAGAAATACCACCGAGGACGATCGGCTCGATCCAACATAAAAGTAAAATGTGCACTGCCGAGGGTCGAACGGCACGAACCATAGATGCATCTATTCACCTCGCTCGTGAATCATACATGCGACGCGGTAAAAGCATAACCATGCTCGCGAATCATACGTGCGACGCGGTAAACATAATGTTCATCATTTAAACACAATATTCTTTAATTTCCTTTTTACAAAAAGAAAATGAATACAATTCACTTGAAGCCTGTAAATTTTTAGATTTCCTTCAACTCACTCCCTTTCATACTATTAGCATATATAAGCAATTAATAGCGACCACGAAGCATGATGTGATCCTAGAACTACCCGGACATAACAGGAATAGTAGCTACGTACAGACTCTCGTCACTTCGTGCGTACGTAGCCCCCACATTTAATCATATATTGATTAGTTCACCTATGGGGACATCTTCCCCTATAAGGTTAGAAAAGAGACTCACCTCGTTTCGAGCCTACTTCCAACTCAAGAATGCGTCCAAACTCTCAAACCGGAGCCGCCCAATCCGAAACTCACAATGCTAGGTTGAAATCCCCTCTTTGGAAGCTCCCAAATCGCCCAAGTGTAGAAATGAAAAGAAATAAATGGCCTAAGTCCCATTTTTTAAAAGTTGTGTCCAGGTCTCTGATATCGCATTTGCGATATCAAGTCGTAAATGCGAAGGTCGCAATTGCGACAAGACCATCGCAATGCGAACCTGGACATCCCTCTGCAAGGGTTGCAAATGCGATAAAAGGGTCGCAAATGCGAACCCTGCTGGGTTCGCAAATGCGAACAAAAATGTCGAAAATGCGACGACTGCCCAGCTCAGGCTTCTTCGCAATTGCGAAGCCTTCCTTGCAAATGCGAACAATTCCTCTCATTTGAGAGACCTGCAACACTGCCCAGAAACACCAGAAAAACTGGAGTGTTTTCACTCCCAACACACATCCGAAACTCACCCGAGCCTTTGGGGCTCCACACCGAATACTCACACAAGCCTAACAACATCATACAAACTTGCTCGTGCGATCAAATTGCCAAAATAACATCTAAAACTACGGATTTAACACCAAAACGCATGAAATCCTTAAGAACATTTGAAATTCCTATTTTTACAACCGGACGTCCAAATCACGTCAAATCAGTCCCGTTTCTCACCAAATTTCACAGACATGACTTAAATGTTATATTAGACCTGTACCGGACTCCGGAACCAACATACAGGCCCGATACCGACATGATCAAACATTATTCAATTTCTTTAAATCCTTAGATTTTCAGTTTAACAATTTTTAACAAAAATTCATTACTCGGGCTAGGGACCTCGTGATTCGATTCCGGACATACGTCCAGGTCCCATATTTTACTACGGACCCTCCGGGACCGTCAAAATACGAGTCCGGATCCGTTCACTAAAAATATTGACCGAAGTCAAACTTGGCCTTTTAAGCCAACCTTAAGGAACCAAGTGTTCCGATTTCAACCCAAACTCTTCCAAATCCCGAACCAACCATCCCCGCAAGTCATAAATCAGTTAAAGCACGTACGGGAAGTCTTATTTAGGGGAACGGGATTCTAAAAAGCAAAACGACCAGTCGGGTCATTACGTGTTCGTTAAGAGACCATCACATTAAATACTTTTATAATTATCTAACTAACATGACAAAATTGATCATTTGTGTAAGTTTTTATGATGTCCTTTTATTTTAAATTCATGTATTATGCTAATATAATAATATTTTTCGGCATTTAGATGATTGTTGTATTATTATACATAAAATTTCTCTATTAATTAAATTTTATTATTCCTTCATATAAATAAATATTTAAATCATCACGTGTCATTATTAACGTGCAACGCATGTTCATAGATACTAGTACTATAAAAAAGTACGAAGACACTTAACGAAATGTCGTTTGCCTTTTTTACCCTTTAAAATAGATTTTACATTGGACAAAATAATCATTTGATTTCTCTAGTATTAGTAATATGAATAATTATTTTGATATTTTCTAACTATTTCGGAATTCGAGATCAATTAGATTTTGTATATTTCCTTGTTTGAATTGTGTGACATAATAAATTCTTAGAAGAAAAATTAAAATAGTATGTAAAGTGTTTCAAAAATGTCGTCTACATAAACTTTTATTCACTTTTACGTCTTGGGTACTTTCACTTGTCATACACTTTAATAATTGTAATTCTAAAAAAAGTAGGTAATCTAGCTAAAAGTTTTGAGTGATTTCAGTTACTTTTAGCTTAAGAATTTTTTGTTTTATTTCTAAATCTGTAAACTTCCAAACACATAAATCTCTGAACTCATAACTTTGGAACTTATAAAATTTCGAACCGAAAAATGAAAAAAACTAAAACTGAAAATATAT